TCGTAAAGCACGCGAACGAAATTATTAATCGGGCGACCTTGGCGGAAGCTCGCAACGACCCGGTACATTCGTCAATTGGCAACGCGTTGTGTCCAGTTGCCGGGTAACATCTCGGATCTCTCCCTTGGCGTGCGCTTTTTGTTATCCCCGACGAAGCGCCGCGCGCCTGTACTGTCGTGGCTTCTACCATACGTTTCTATCCGTGGGGAAAACCGCTGAGGGCACTGTCGTGTACAGATTTGAGGCATTACTGGGCATTACTAGGCATTAATAGGCATTTTTTGGGCATTAGGTCTTGCTGCATTGTAAAGATAAAATAAGATAAATAAGATAAAATACGATAAAGTAATGCCCACTTTATTAGTTTTGGTCGGCGGTTTCCCCCTCGTTTCTATCTATATGCCAGTTTGACGTGAGAGTTGATCGACTTGCCCACGATTACCCCACGATGAGTATCTTGAGAAAGAGAACCGTGCACACGAAATCGAATCACATGTGCCGCGAGGTGTAACACAGGTCAGCAAATTACTACTGCTCGACGCGAAAGAATCTCGGAAATTAATATCAGATCCATGTAATTACCGGCTTAATATCCTGACGCTTGTAATTTCAGTCTATTTGGCCACGCCCCGGTATAATTGCGCCGTGGCAGAGAAAATAAACGCTACGTGAACTACCGCGAGCTAGCCGGCCACTTATCCGATGGAGCAAAAGTAAAAAAGAAAAATAAAGAAACGAATATAAAAAAAACCGATAAAATATGTTGTGGACAGATTTCTTTCTTTTTGTTTGAAATTTGAACAATTGACAATTTTCAAAGAATATTCCAAGTGCTTTTGTATTTATCGCCGGTGTCGTTGGTAGAATAAAAGTTCCAAGACACCCAACACAAAAATAACTCTTATTTTATCCGCTGCCGAGACGATTCAAGGACTTCCACGTTATCATTACGCTAATTGATCGGCAGTTTTACGCGCCATATACGCGTGCGTTCAATAATGGTTTTTCCCCCCTTTTTTTTCGGAGATGCGCTCGAAAGCACGGCAATGCGCTTCGCCTGCATATGCATGAGGAAGAGGGCGAGGGGGCAAAAAAGATCGACCGGTTCGCTCTCGCGGTCGCGGTTCACTGCAAAGCGGATGCGGCGGATATACGAGAGAATCTTAACGAGAGACTTTTGAAAGAAAATTCCATCTTAAGCCGATAAATATTCTGTAAACGGACATTCCATTCTTAATTAATGAATACGCGAAACGTAGCTTATAGCGAATTCGGTTGTTTGCACTAGTGCGCACTAAGGCTTGTTTGCAGTCAATTCTTATATTTCAAAATTGTTTTAAATATCTCTTGAAATATTTAGCTGGTAAGAGAATCTGTATAGCGTCCATACGGATCATTTTTCTAGCTAAATACTCTTTGAACATGTATTTAAAACAAAGTTAAATGTAAAAAAATTGACTATAAACAGGCCTTAATGTGCACTCGGTGCGCACTGGTGCGAGCAATCGAATTCACTATTAGTTCCCCACGTAATTCCCATGGATTTCAACATTCATATTCATTAGTCACACTAAAGCTTATGAAATAGAAATCGATTCCTTTCTGGACCATGATTTGAGAGTGATTTTCTTGGCCGTGTCGCACACGATGGATGACGTGTATCGTTTGCGAACAAGTCGTTCAAGGTGGAAGTTTTGCAATTCTACTCGTGCTGAAGACTGCATCAGCACGGCGCGATACTGTATTCTGCGAAAACAGCGTGGACACGACGTCATCCAAAGTTCTTGTGATAACCAGCGGGTATCCAAGTATCCCTTTCCTGTCTGTTAGATTATTGTACGAGTCGAAAAACAGGTCGATTTTAAGATCTTTTTCTTCTTAAGTTCGATAGAAATGCTTTTATATTTTAATATGAAAAACTTATACATATATTATTACGTTTATAGATATAAAAAATAGAATATTAAAATAACGATTGTAAAAAATTCAGATTATACAGTGACTCTTATTGAATAAAAGCCTCGAGTGTTGATCTGAAATGTAAAAATCCAATTTTTTCTCCTGATCTTTACACTCGTTCGTTTAGGTAGCAAACATTTGAGATTTATACGAAATAACGAAATGCTTTCACAAATTTTCTGCGCGTTGATTGACGTTTTCTAAAAAATACCTTGTTTACGAAAAAACTAAATGTTCTATTGAAAAACTGCCCCTGACCAGATAGACAATCTTTCGAAGAATATACGAATCTGAAATAATTTTGCTAAAAAATTTGTTAAATGTCAATAAATAAATACATAAAAATTATGCAAGGAAAAGGATGTGGGAATATTGTACGGTCACAAGCAAAGAATATATTATAGATGTAAATTACAGTCTGTCAAGTACAGATCAATAGAAGCTGTTGATGGTCACCGTATGGCTGAAAAGGGGATGAGATAAAAACTGAAATAGATGCCGACATTTTATTGCAAATACCGTGAATATTGCTCCTCACGTATTACTTTGCATAGAGATCTACATTTATGAATTCCTTTTGATCTGTACACTCTCGCTTAAATTTTGCTGTCTTCAAACGAGTCCAACTTCATTCAGTTTTACGCTGCAAGTTGTTGCGTGTAAAACCTAGGTCTCTTATCGTCTTTTCAACAGCGGAGACGATGTGGAAAATAAATGTTAATAAATTTCTGTTGCGTTTTATTGCATGACAATGACAACAATGATTATAAAAGTGTGTACACGTCTACATCTCCATTTTTTATGTACAAAATTAAATACATATCGTTCCAATGTTAACCCCCGATCGTCGGCCTCGATTATTATTTCACATGTCACGCGTACCGATCTCGCTCTCGCAAATGTTCGTAAAGCTCACAGCGCACGGTGACGATATAAAATCATCGAATAGAAAAATATATCGAATATAACGACGAGTCAAGGGGTTAAGAAACACGATTGATATAAACGTCTTTTAAATCACGGAGATCGAAACCCACGACGAAATCTTGACTACGCTACGCCCTTAGTTCAGCGAGGCGTATGAGCCTGCTGTGCATTTGTTTCTAGAATTAATTAAATTATTACATATCGAAATCACCGAGGGGAAATATGATCTGTATAGTTCATGATAGTGAAAACTGCGATGAATCGATTGATATTTCCGCTCAGTGAGAGATTGCGTGGGTTTCAATCTCCGTAAAACGACACGCACGTCCAGCGTTCACGAAATGCACTTGGGGAGAAAATGCAATTCGCTTCGTCCGCGAGTTTCGCGAGTCCTCTCGATAGTTTGACACCGCGCACGAGGATAAAGTTGAGCAAGTTTGCAAGTCGAGCTTCTCTCCGTATTGCCTGCGGCGGCGAAAAGCTCGTGCCGAAACAATCGGTATGGACTGGAAAGCTTGACGTGAGTTGAAGCGCAATGCATACAAAGCCATACTGCGTGTAATAACAGTTGCAAGAGTTTCGGTAGCTGGTAAGTATTAATGAACAGCAGCTTGTAACAAAAGGGCCAGAGCTGCGTTACGCCTATCGCTTTAAAGAATTAAAATTATCGTTAACGACGGAAAGAGGAGCGTACAATCGACACCGAGTTCATCCAAGCCACACTCGAAAAAATTCTCGAAAATATATTGATGGTATTTTATTGCCACTAGACTAAAAAATACAACAGAAAATATTCAAAAACCAAAGGCATCTACGCTGCGAGACTGTGAACAATAACAGCTTTAGATAACTATAGAAAAAGATCTATTTTCTCGCTATTTGTAGCTTAAATTAACGATCTTTTGATTACTTCAATCAATTTTCGCGACAGTTTTTCAAAATGTTCCAATTCATTAGGATTTCCTTCCAGTTACCGAAACGTTTCGAGACGATCCTTTGGCAGCTGGTATTACTGTAGTGTTCAGACGCATATGACATATTTAAATTAAACTCGTGCATGACCTTGACTCCTTTCAAGTTATTTTCACATTGCTCGATCGAGGCCGATGGGCCTCTGCATCGTTGGCAAATCTCTCTCTCTCTCTCTCCCCCCCTCTTTCTCTCGTTCTCTGTTCTGCAGCTAGGCATGCACCTAGACCGATCAATAACGTATATTTCGTGCCTACGTCTTGCGGCCGCGGTGCAGTATAGTCAGAGTTATTTTAACGGTAAAATTATTCCGCAGCGCTGGTGCACACAAATATTAAACCAGAAGCATCTCTTTCTCTCCGTCTCTCGTTTCCGTCGGTTTAATATCAGTTGTAATAGCAAACGATTAACGAGGTTGCTCCAGATCAGAACGAGTAGGATTTTCAGGTCACACAATCAGTAAGAGATTATTGGCCAGCGCGCGCACACACGAGAGAGAGAATATTCTATGCTAAAGCGTGTCGAAAAATCGAGCTGAAATTGGAACGGGCGAACGATTTCGCCCGTTATTCCAAGAATCGATACATTTTCACGTTTACGAACGCGCGTGCGTATTCTCCTTTTCCAAGACCGGGTGTTACCCGCCGGTGGCTGCGGCGCGTTATCGTAATATCCGTGGCCAAAAAGATTAGAGAAATTTTCCGGCTGGTCCACCGCTCGCGCGGGGCGCATTCGACGCAACCTGATCGATGCGCTGCCGGCGCGTTAACGGGGCCCTGCCGTTATGCAACTTACTGCACCAACGAGGTTGCACCAATGAGAGATGCCAAGGTCGATGCACCAACGAACTCGACGCAGCATCGATGCAGCGCAGAGAGGAGTGGCTTATCGTCGTCAAGTTCAACGATATTTTCTATGTACAAAATACCCCTCTTATGCGAAATTCGCTTTTAAGCAACTAATGTTTCTCGCCGCATTTATTTATCGGAACAAATATCCTATTGATGCAACTTGAATTACCGAACTTCATTTACGTTTGCATAGTATTTACATTTTATTTGTATGTACATGCAAGAACTTCTCCATTCGATTTTTTCTACTGTACATCATTTATATCAAAATTCGAAAGGATTATTAAACGACCCAACCCTGGGAGACGGTATATTTAATAGATTAAAATCCAACGTTTCGACCATCCGGAATGTGGTCATTTTCAAGGATAATCGTATCGAATCATCAAGACATATCATACAATTAGTCAAATCATAAAATTGAAACTAACGTCCACTGCCAAGGCATCGGTCATCAAGATTCCGTGTTACATAGCACACCTGTACGGCACTGTACGGTTAGCAGTAGGACTGTTTTGACTTATCCTTGAAAGTAACCACAATTTAGCTGGTCGAAACGATGCACCATCTGCCAGTTGGGGCGTTTAATAATCCTTTCAATTTTTATTAATTATATACTGGCGATAATAAACTTCATTCTCAATAATTCATATCCTAAATATGATCATTTCGCACTGACTTAATCACTGTAAAATAGATGTTTCAAAACGCAATAGTTCTCAATAATAAAAGCCTTCTTCTCTAATATAATAGAAAATATCAAGAAACTTGAGAGTTAAAAATAAGCTGGGCAAACGCGAGGTGACAACGCGAGTGTAGCATGCAATAGTCGTCGCTATGTCCGTCCATCGTGCGCCATCGGCTTCCATTCGTCAGAGAGACGTTTCCTCGGCGCACGAGCACGTGCAAGACTTTCCAGTCGCAATTATTATATCGGACCCTGTCGACCTCCGCGACGCGTCTTAAACGCAGAGGGAGAAGTCGCTCCCGCGGCGAGCCTTAACGATATTGCCAATAGAATGAGATACTCACCGTCGTCTCCCGCGTGCTTCGGGGCGACGGAGGGATTCCTGGAAGGATTTTCACGGCTCTCGCCGTTACGTTACGGGCGTGAAATCTGTCGGTGGCGGCTTATGGCTTCCCCGCGCTGCCGCGTGAGCCGATGGGAAGGTCGGAAATGTAGATAAAGACGGCAATGACGACGATGACGATGACGACGGCGAGGAGGAACGCGAGAATCGACCGACGTCCCCTCGAAGTCGCGCCACGAAGAGAGGGGACGGACGAGGGGAGGAGAAGGTGGCGTACTTCCAAGCTCTTGGCAGACCTTAGTTCGAGGCGGAGGGCGTCTTGGGTGGCTGGAAGGGGTTCCATTTCAGACACTCCGGATCGATCTCTTTGTAGACGGGGCCCCGTCTCTTCACCCTCTCCTTGTAGTCGTCGATCACGTCCTGAAATTATTTCAACGGTCCCTTTCTTTTTTATCCGTGGCTCCGGCCTGGCCGACGCGACAGCTCGTGAATCCGTTTCGATCGGGTCGTGGGGGTTGAGGAAATGTGCAATAGCGACGCGCCGAGGGGCGAGTACGGTCAAATTAATCGAATGATAATTAGTCTCGCGGTCGTGCTGCCCGATCGTATGACGGGGATATCGTTTCCCGGGACCAGCGACCAACGGTCGCATGAAATCGGATCGTCCTTGTTGCGTCGTAATCACGTTAATAAGATACGTCTGATATTTCCGATATTCATGCTGTTTGCATAGTGAGAAACGATTCGCTGTACCGGCGAGTACATTATTCCTTGTCCCTTCCCCGTTATCTACTTCTGCGGTATGATTGAGGCAAGAAAAATACATCGAGGTAAGACAAATATTTCCGCGAAGCTGATTATTTACAGACGCAGTAATACCGCAGGATTTTCATAACGGCGGGCGTTATCTCTTTGCTAAAAGTCTATAAAATTTTACTCAATTTTTCCTACTATTTTTTATATTTATCGCGAGATAAATGTAACGTAAATTGAATTATCAAAGTACCAATAAAAGTCGCGATGGCGTTTCGCTCGAGGCGATTCTCGACGTTACGTAAAGGCCGAATCGGACTAGCAATTGCCGACTCGGATTGGATTGGGACTGGCGATTGACGATTGTTCTCCAGCCAATGAGAGCAAAGCAGCCAGCGATTTAATCGACTCTCACTGGCTAGAAGACAATCGCCAATCCCAATCCAATGAGAGTCGATTAAATCGCTGGCTGCCTGTCCTCTCATTGGCTAGAGAGCAATCGTCAATTGCCAATCCCAATCCAATCCGCGACAATTGCTAGTCTGATTCGGCTTTTACGCCGAGTTCCTACCGACGATTCCTGAAATCGAGTGCGATAAATCTGACAAGACGATGAGCATATTCGCAGGAAAGAATGGACAATATGTTTCGCGGAACGAAGGGTGAGCCGTACATACATATGTTCATACATGCAAACGCGCGGTAGATTACAACACAAAGGAAGCGCTTACCTGTTTCTTCAGAATGATATGCTTGCCCTTCCAGTACTTCATCATACCGAGGGCCTGTAAAGTACTGACAATGTCGTACGAGTCGATGGCCATTTCCTTGCTGATATCTGAAAGAAGAATTGACGAGAGCTTGTCTCTGCCGCGCGTTCGACAACGGTCTTCCCGGGCCACCGTTAGAAGTGAGAACTGTCGCCGGAAAAGTCTCGAAGGGACACACAATAATCCGATCTTATAGAAAAGAAACTTGTTCCTCTCGGCGCCATACGGCAGGAGTAATAAAATTGACGGGGCTAGTAGAAAGATACACGATGAATAAAACATCGTGAATTTATTACTATTTACATTTATGTATGGAGATATTTATGTATGAAGAATATACTATCAACATATGAGAAATTTGGCGCGCGCGCGTGCGCACACATACATACACACGTTTCAGGGGAAATATTTTCTTCCTTTATTAGCCTCTCTGGCTACCTAAACAAATCCGGTCTTTTAGACTTTTCCAAATATCTGGTTAGAAACTTGCACATATTTTACGTTCGTTTTGCATTGATTCGATTAACACTGAATTCACCTAGCGCAGTTCTAAATATGAATAATAATAAACTAAAATGAAGACGGCAAGAGTCGCAAAAATGCGGAAATGATGAATTATATATAATCTGCTGCGGTTTTCAGCGGCAGGGCGGTTTATCCTGCCTCCGCTGGATACAATTATTCAACCGCTAAAACCAGTTACGTTGGGAAAACTTGACCGTCGGATCAATAACAATGCGGCGTAAATCCCCTACAGACGATTCCCTTGTCTCGAGGCAGAAAATTAAAAATACGGTCAATAATGACCGAAACTGGATTGTGTTACGTGTATCGTCCGGTTGTGCCAGAATGTCGGAATAAAATAAATCCTGATCGTGGTAGCGAGAACGGTTTGGCGAGGTCTCCTCTCGTCGGACTGAAACATTTTCGAGAAATTTCTAGAGATCGTTCGCGCAGATTACGCGAAGAATGTAAATTTTCTCCCCGCGGGAAGATTACGCTTTCGAAACCGGGTGTTGAATCAGCGGTTCAAAGTGAGACCTCCCACGAGCCGCATTAGCGCACTTTCAATCCGCGCATGAATATTTAAACGCCGCTCCGTAATACCGAAAGTCAAAACGCGCTTCGCGCTGACCTACCTTTTACGGAGATCTCCTTGCCGCCGAAATTGCAGAGATACTGCAGCAGAACGTCCTTCCAGTAGCTGCGGTACGAGATCAGGCCGAGGTCCGACAGCGGTTTCTCCGGCGAACCGATTTTCTTCTCGACCCTCGTCAGTAAGTAACCTGCGCAGCGAATTGTCGAACGGACTCGGTGTCAATAATACTCGTGCGTCAACCGGGTAATGTTCTTAAGAACCAAATGGCGGTAATAAAGTTTAAGATATTCGATAGCTCCACTTTAAGAAAATTGTAATTCCAGGTAATTTCGGTAATGTATTGGCACAAAAATGTTGCCGCAATAGTTTTCGAGGTACGACACAACGCCGGCCGGGACGGGCGCGAGCGAAATTTCTGAAGCATAATTGGACAACGGAATCCTATTAAACACTTAAAGTTGAGGGGACAAGTGTCGGCGGGCCCGACGGAAACGGACTCGGCCCTGGTGCCCGTCTGCTCCCGGTTGAACGTCCGTTCCGCCTCGTTTGTCCCAAGTATTCTGCGACGAGGCATCAAAGAAAAATGTATAGACAGCCGAGAGAGAGAGAGAGCGAGAAAGAGAGAGAAGGAGAGCGAGAGAGAGAGAGAGAGAGAGAGAGAGAGAGAGAGAGAGAGAGAGAGAGAGAGAGAGAGAGAGAGAGAGAGAGAGAGAGAGAGAGAGAG